CATAACCGAGCAGCGGTACTAATTCAATTGTCATTCTTTTCGTCGGGCAACAAGCTGCGATAATGCTAACCATTAATTAAGGAAACATCTTAATTACCGTTCAGAATTTTTATAAGTGGCCTATATTGCACATAGTACTCTTCTCGACGATGCGGGTTGATGTTAAGAGTAGGAAATTCGGTAGGAAACACGGTAGGAAATTCTTCATTAAACTGTTTAAATTTGCTTTGTATGCGATAAATTACGTATATTGCGTTTAATTTCGGAGATTTATAATTATCAATATCGAAATCGATATATCACCAGACACGGTATATATCGCCATCTCATGATGAGTCACATTTAGCAATATTTTGGAGAAAAATTAATTGTTACGTAGTATTTGGCAAAAATTCTCGAACAATGATGAAATTGAAATGACGTTAATATATACAAATGAAATTGACATTCTCCATTTATATAGATTGATTAAAAGTATTGCACTTTGTGCAACTACAAGTCTTATAATTTACAAATTATTGGTATATATTATTATTTTAAAACAGATATTTTTGTTTGTAGTTTGGATTTTAGCATTTAAGAGAAATCTTGATAGAATACTTCATGTAAACACAATTAAAGAATGAGACCACTAATTATTAGAATATTATTATAATATTGTAATAATATTTGTGATATTTAAGCTTTTATACAAGTAAATCTAAACTGTCGAAATTTTCTAAGAATGATGTAAATTTTCCTTTTTATGAAAATTAAAAATTTTATACAATCAGATGGACAAGTGATTCTTGCTAGATCTTCTCACTATTAATTGTTCCCCATTGATGATACAAGACACGTGGCACAGATTACATACATTCTACTGTTCAGACAAACGAGAAAAGATAAAAACGTTTGTTTCCTCAATGATGTTCCGTAAGATTCCCCTTCTATGACCACCATGTCCTTCAATATTTTCTCACTGAGTACTTCATTCAGATTAGAAGCACAATGCTTGTAATTCATAGTACTGTTTCTCTTTCGTAACGTTTTCTCCTATACTTGTTCTCTATATAATTACAATATTAACGAATAATTGATAATGAAATTAAAAGTTAATAATTTACAAAAATGTGTTACATGTACACTCAATATTACGAAAAATATGGTTATAAAAGGTATTGTACGATTATGTGTTACATATTACCCAATTGCAAAAAAGTTATTAAATTTAATGAGAACAAACTCACAAATATTATTTTGTTTGTGAAACAATATTTATGAAACAAAATTTATGATAAAGAAGAAATATTACTAGAATTAAATAAAATGATTAAAGATTTTTTTGCATCTAACATAAGAATATATGTATACTGTTATAACTTTTATATAAAAAATTCAAATTATGAAAAATTCTTATTCTAGATGAATACCGAAATGTTTATTACATACGTAATCTTACGTTATGTCCATATGGTATAACATAATAATAACTGCGCTCTTCGGTATTCCAATGATTACATCGATTATTGTTCTCTGTCACAGCCTTAGTCGAACATATGGATTCCATGCGTTTTATACAAGAAAAATAAATTTTTAATGTGCTTCGTAAGCTTTTAATTTCAAAGTAAAAATTACGTCAGTGTTAATCAATTTAAAATATCTTCTTCGCGTCATTTGCTATAATATAACGTCATCTTCAAAACAGGCAACGATACTTAGGCAAACTTACTGTGCAAAAGATATATGTGTTTATAAAGGAGATTATGTGAGAAAGGAGAGAATGAGAGGAGAACCCGGCAAATAAACTTCGTTTTTCTCGAAAAGATACATGACACTTGCGACACACGTACGAACGTTCTACGTCCATATCAGGAATACTTAATGCGAAGTGCTTAGTATTCTCAGACATGGTTGTGAAAACATGTTACTATTCGCAAGTACAGGAAAGTAACCGTGCCCTGATACAAGTGAGATTCCATGGCAACACACCTTAGAAGAATTTCCAGAAACTCATCTACATTAGCGTTTCCTTGTTCGGTTGAATAAAGTGGCATAATAACATTTTTTATTTAATTATTTGTTGCATTAATCTTGTTATTATTGAGTTATGAATCCCTTATCAAATTAAACTAATATCTATATTAATTCATATATATATAATTTTGAAAATTAAATGTTTTCTCTGTAAAATCACAGATTAAAACAGGTTAATGTAATTGTCTTAGAAAAATTGTTATAGAAAAAAATTGTGATTTTGAAAGGTCAATTAAATTTATAAGCAGATCATTGGCTTCTCGCCTGACTTCTGGCGACTGACATCTTCTGTCTCGGCTTTGTGTTTTTTGATTCTTTTCGCATGCTACCGCTCACACACACATACACGCATACATTCCTGTTTGCCCACGCATCGAGTAACCTGTACACATGTAAACCAACCGGTTAATCACGATCTTAGAATGAGATTTATAAATCTCGCTTCGATAGATATTTTGTCTAAGATCCTTTGTCATGAATAATATTAATGATGAAAGAGCAATCGATTACAAATAATTATATTATTCTCTTAGAGAGCTAAACTTCAAAATCAAGCAGTTATATTTTATATTTTATATTAAATAGAACTCTAAATAAATACATTCGCCACAATGATATCGATTTAACGTAAGTTATAAAAAAAAAAATAATTTTAGACAAGAATGAAATGTCAAGATACTTATAATCCGGGCAAATAATTTGAGATAATTCTTTTATGTATGTATTAAATATAATACTAAAAAATTTTAATATTATTAGACAATGTGTCATTATAAAACTAACGTTACAGAAGTATAAAACTTTTTATTTTTAATAGAAATTAATTTAAAAAAAGTAACAATTCTACGTCAGAGTTTCATATAAAATTTAGAATCTAAAAAAATAATCATGCACGTAAAACAAATGTGACGTATTTGATGACTTTTTTGCGCCATGATCAAATGTGTACATACGTTTGACGCGTACGACAGGAAACGTTCCAAGTCCGACAATAAATTGCCAATATGGGCAATTCGCCGATACCAATACTCACGAAACCACACTTGCCACGTCCGCTCCACTTAGAAAAGAATCGAAGTGAAAGTCTTCAAGGTGGTTCTCAGATCATTTGCAGTCTCCTACAGGATGCAGATGTTTGAAATCCTACCTTATGTAAAGTGCAGAGCGATGCTTCAATGAGAGACGTAGCACGTTATATGTATACATTATTCGTACAATTATTTCGCGTACAACTACTTCAAATTTATCGCTATTAAATATTCGCTAGTTGTTAGTATTTTCATACAGTTAGAATTATCTTAATTATATTTTATTTTTGTTTTTCTATGCATTTGTACGTATTATATTATTTACAAATATATGTGATAGATATATGTGATTCAACGGATCTCTCGAATTTTTTAGTTAAGATATGTAATTAATTCTAATTATAGATATAATGCTTATATATTTATACCTACCCTAACTATATTTATATTTAAAAAAGTTCTCATAAAAGCGAAATGAAAACAATCTGTATATACTATATATTATTAACATAATAATAACTGCGCTCTTCGGTATTCCAATGATTACATCGATTATTGTTCTCTGTCACGGCCTTAGTCGAACATATGGATTCCATGCGTTATACAAGAAAAATAAATTTTTAATGTGCTTCGTAAGCTTTTAATTTCAAAGTAAAAATTACGTCAGTGTTAATCAATTTAAAATATCTTCTTCGCGTCATTTGCTATAATATAACGTCATCTTCAAAACAGGCAACGATACTTAGGCAAACTTACTGTGCAAAAGATATATGTGTTTATAAAGGAGATTATGTGAGAAAGGAGAGAATGAGAGGAGAACCCGGCAAATAAACTTCGTTTTTCTCGAAAAGATACATGACACTTGCGACACACGTACGAACGTTCTACGTCCATATCAGGAATACTTAATGCGAAGTGCTTAGTATTCTCAGACATGGTTGTGAAAACATGTTACTATTCGCAAGTACAGGAAAGTAACCGTGCCCTGATACAAGTGAGATTCCATGGCAACACACCTTAGAAGAATTTCCAGAAACTCATCTACATTAGCGTTTCCTTGTTCGGTTGAATAAAGTGGCATAATAACATTTTTTATTTAATTATTTGTTGCATTAATCTTGTTATTATTGAGTTATGAATCCCTTATCAAATTAAACTAATATCTATATTAATTCATATATATATAATTTTGAAAATTAAATGTTTTCTCTGTAAAATCACAGATTAAAACAGGTTAATGTAATTGTCTTAGAAAAATTGTTATAGAAAAAAATTGTGATTTTGAAAGGTCAATTAAATTTATAAGCAGATCATTGGCTTCTCGCCTGACTTCTGGCGACTGACATCTTCTGTCTCGGCTTTGTGTTTTTTGATTCTTTTCGCATGCTACCGCTCATACACACATACACGCATACATTCCTGTTCGCCCACGCATCGAATAACCTGTACACATGTACCAACCGGTAACCAACCGGTTAATCACGACCTTAGAATGAGATTTATAAATCTCGCTTCGATAGATATTTTGTCTAAGATCCTTTGTCATGAATAATATTAATGATGAAAGAGCAATCGATTACAAATAATTATATTATTCTCTTAGAGAGCTAAACTTCAAAATCAAGCAGTTATATTTTATATTTTATATTAAATAGAACTCTAAATAAATACATTCGCCACAATGATATCGATTTAACGTAAGTTATAAAAAAAAAAATAATTTTAGACAAGAATGAAATGTCAAGATACTTATAATCCGGGCAAATAATTTGAGATAATTCTTTTATGTATGTATTAAATATAATACTAAAAAATTTTAATATTATTAGACAATGTGTCATTATAAAACTAACGTTACAGAAGTATAAAACTTTTTATTTTTAATAGAAATTAATTTAAAAAAAGTAACAATTCTACGTCAGAGTTTCATATAAAATTTAGAATCTAAAAAAATAATCATGCACGTAAAACAAATGTGACGTATTTGATGACTTTTTTGCGCCATGATCAAATGTGTACATACGTTTGACGCGTACGACAGGAAACGTTCCAAGTCCGACAATAAATTGCCAATATGGGCAATTCGCCGATACCAATACTCACGAAACCACACTTGCCACGTCCGCTCCACTTAGAAAAGAATCGAAGTGAAAGTCTTCAAGGTGGTTCTCAGATCATTTGCAGTCTCCTACAGGATGCAGATGTTTGAAATCCTACCTTATGTAAAGTGCAGAGCGATGCTTCAATGAGAGACGTAGCACGTTATATGTATACATTATTCGTACAATTATTTCGCGTACAACTACTTCAAATTTATCGCTATTAAATATTCGCTAGTTGTTAGTATTTTCATACAGTTAGAATTATCTTAATTATATTTTATTTTTGTTTTTCTATGCATTTGTACGTATTATATTATTTACAAATATATGTGATAGATATATGTGATTCAACGGATCTCTCGAATTTTTTAGTTAAGATATGTAATTAATTCTAATTATAGATATAATGCTTATATATTTATACCTACCCTAACTATATTTATATTTAAAAAAGTTCTCATAAAAGCGAAATGAAAACAATCTGTATATACTATATATTATTATAAATATATTTGCACGGTAATGCATTGCATTATTACAAGTATGTTACATAGTAAGATTACTGCAATGTTACATTGCAATATTACAAAAAGCGGACATCTTAACGTTGCCGCAATCTTATAGCAATAGTGCAACAATGTTTCGTAACCAATTTACAATATTGCAATGTTTCAATGAAATTATTCTGCAATATGTTTGCAACCTTTCTGTGCTGTATGGGACTTCTCGCTCTAAAGCTACGGTCTTGTAGATAGGATATCAGCAATTTGCTAAAAGATCTCGGTAGCATTTTGTTAAGCTTGAACACTAGTCACTCGTGCCAAACCCTATCGAATGCCTGAGATACATCGAGCAATATAGCGGAGCGTGTCAATTACTCCATAGAAAATAATCGAGTGGGTTTAAATCAAGCGATCTTGCGGGTCATGCGCGGGACCACCTTAGCCAATTCAAGAATTTGAAAAATTTAATTTACCGAAATCCTGTGGAAACACTAGAAGAGTTAGAAGAACAGCGCAATGTTTCGCAACAAATTTGCAATATTGCAATATTTCAATGAAATTATTCTGCAATATGTCTGCAACCTTTTTATGCTGTATGGGTAGCTTCACTAACTGCGTTAGATATCTCGTAGAGTTTTGTGAAAGTAAGATTCCGTATCTCTTGTGCATTGAAAAAGATATCGAATTCTTGTTCCAAAGTTTGCTTAACTTCCATAACCATTATCGAGTCCATTCCAAGCTCGGCCAGAGATGTATTTTGACTTATCTTTTTTGTGTTTTTTATATCTGATAATAAAAGTAAGAAAGAAATATATATATATATATATTAACAAGTAAATGATGAGACGGGCAAGTGAGAGCCGATGCGCTGGGTGAGGGGCGCCAAAAATACATAATTCCGTGTATGTGAATTATGTTTATTAAACATTTCGGTCCGAAAATTGGACCATCTTCAGTAATTTGACAAATAAAAATAATGTCAGGAGCGTGTCGATTACTCCATAGAAAATAATCGAGTGGGTTTAAATCAAGCGATCTTGCGGGTCATGCGCGGGACCACCTTAGCCAATTCAAGAATTTGAAAAATTTAATTTACCGAAATCCTGTGGAAACACTAGAAGAGTTAGAAGAACAGCTTCATTGTGCAATAGCAACCGTTACACAGGAAATGATCCAACGTGCACAAGAAAATCTTATCCGCAGAGCAAATATGTGTATACAAATGGAAGGTCTGCATTTCGAGCATATGCTTTAAAATACGTAATCGGCCCTTTTTAGGGCCACAAACATTTTCAAAATGTTGGAACTATAATCTTGGATCAAAATTATTCACGTGTTATCTAATCTACTTATTTTACTTTCAGTCATTACTTCAGTCATATCAATTAGAAAATGTTCTCTTATTAAGTAAGTTGTATTCAAAATAGCAATATTTAGATATCATGTATAATTCTTATAAAATCTTTAGCGAAATAATAAAATAGCTCACGCTCACGCGCCACGCACGCCGTTCGCGCGCGGTCCCTGATTCATGCCTAACCTAGAGCGCTCATTCGTTAACTTAAAATTACTCTCATTTAAAAAGTATATATTTTAGTGGATGCATTAAAATGGCCTACCCTGTATATGTATATATGTATATACGTATTGCTAGAATTTATGCGAGAAATAATTCAACATTATAATAAACATATGCGTGCAATAAGAAAGTAAGCGAGTTTGTATGTAAATACTTACTTAGAATATTAGCGACAGTTTCTACCATATTGCCAAGTCCGGAAGATGCTACTTTCTTTTCGGCTAAGACCATGCTGCTTACGACTGGCCGGCCTTGAAGTAAGAATTTATCGAGCTCGTCAAGGCAACTGGCTAACTTTTGCTGCGTGGTGCCGACGACAGTGAATATTTTATCATCTTTCTGCATATCAGCGACAAAACCCACATCACCCACGGCTCCCCACTGAATCGCCAATCCGGGTAATCCATTATCCACTCTTTTCTCGCACACTCTTT